ACACTTCATGTTTAGTGATGAATGTATCCAGTAGTTGGTTGTCATAGTTTTTAACAATACAAGTGAGGACATTTGGTTCTCGGGGTTTCCGTGGATCCTTAAAAAGATTAAATTAGATTTTTAAAATTTAAGGCCATAAAAGGGTCTTATTTTTACTTATTTTTATGGCAATGGCGTTGGCAATTTGACTAGACATATCTATGTTATGTTATGTTTATTTAAATATTAAATTAAAAAAACTCATCTCATAAAAAAAACTCATCTCATAGCTTCATTTATGCAATTGTAAATGCAGTGTAACTTCATATTGCAGGGCATGCATTCACATGGATCCGGTGTTTCACTACTTATCTCCCTCTCAATGATGATGGAGTTCTTCAGTCTTGACTCGATCTCCACAATTCACTCACTTTCCATCCTTTTTAATGTTTTCGACTCATGTTCACACAATCACCGTTGCACCCTCAATCCAGCCGAATCCTCACAGCCTTCACCAGACATCTCCGCGAATCTATGTCAATGCCAAAGAAACGATTACTCCCGGGGGAGCACCACACTCGACTGTCTCTTCCCTATTCTCTAATACACTCCATTTGTCTATATCGCCCTATCGCAGAGCCCCGCGCACACTCTCCACACCTGATGCTGATCTGTCATCAGCAGCCGCTGTCATGGCGACAGATACAGAACCGGAACCGGCTCTGTGTTTCGGTCATGCCGTTCCGGGAGGAACACAATTTCAGCGGGACTTAGTTCCGCTTCAGTTTGTCACCTTGTGACAATCATTTCTGTAATACATTTTCCTTCACATTTTCACACGTATAAAACGGCAAAATGCGTGTTTAAATGATATGTTACAACTAGTGAAGGTAATAGCAAATGTAAATTATATTATTGAATTTGAATGATCATTTTGCTCCAAACGTTGCATTTGTTAAGGAAAATGTTGAAATACACTGCCATTTTACAATTCAAATTGGAATATTGAATATTAAAACGTCTATACTTTTGGCTTTGTCCACCCCAGAAGTTAACCAATTCAGACCCTGTGTCCATTACAATGGAAATCACATGTCAGCCCCCTTTTTTTTAACTTCTGGAGTATTTCACAATGGACAAAAATGGAGCAAAAAATGCAAAAATGGAGGCTCTAAACCCTTCCAGAGCTGAGATATTGAGATCCCACGTACTGTAGCATTTATGCCATTATAAATATCTCAATATTTCAGCTCTGGAAGGGTCTAGAGCCTCCATTTTTGGCCCTCTATCAGAATCCAGAGTTTCAAAAAGATTGGAGAAACTTATTTTTTTGCACCAAAAAAAAAAAAAAAAAACGAAAGGGGTACCACTGTCGTTTTTTTTTTTTTTCGGGTCAAATTTTTGAGTTTCGATATCTCAGCTCTGGAGGCTAGAGCCTCCATTTTTGCACTCAGGTTTAAGTCTCATGGCCCTCTATCAGAATCCAGAGTTTTGAGAAGATTGGAGAAACTTAATTTTTCGCCCAAAAAAAAAACGAAAGGGGTACCACTGTCGTTTTTTATCGAATTTTTGAGTTTCGATATCTCAGCTCTGGAAGAGTCTAGAGCCTCCATTTCTGAACTCAGGTTTAAGTCTCATGGCCCTCTACCAGAATCCAGAGTTTTGAGAAGATTGGAGAAACTTAATTTCTCGCCCGAAAAAAACAAAAACGAAAGGGGTAACACTGTCGTTTTTTTTTCGGGTCGAAATTTTGAATTTCGATATCTCAGTTCTGGAAGGGTCTAGAGCAGGGGTCACCAAACTTTTTTCTCTGGGGGCCACATTATCGTTCCTGACTGTGATGGGGGGCCGGGGCTATATAAAATAGAATTGTGTGACCAAACTGACCACCAGCAGGCCTCATAGTAGAGATTACTAGCCTGGCACAGCCATATTTGTTTATCATTAATAGTTGTTTGCAAAAGTAGTAATCGAGTCTTCACACTTTGTTTTAATTTGAAATACCACAGATTTTCCATTTATTTATTTTCGAATACAAATAACATCAAACCTGTCAAGGTAAGAAACATCTGCCTAGTTGAGGTGAGTGGCACTGGTAAGGATGAATGAAAAATTATAAATTTATAGGTAGGCCTGTTACTATTTATAATAATTGTGTACAGCACTTAATAAAGGTCAAATAAATAGGCCTATTAAATAAATAAATAAACATTGAAATTATAACAACAACATGAGTAATAGAAACTAGTCAGCTCTTAATGCCTATCCAGGTGAGCATGCTCAAAAACAACAAAAATACCAAATGCAGACATGTTATTATTTCCAAAAAGCAATTTAAAAAATAGGCCATGACGACTTTTTGGGATTGCCGGTTCAAGTA